ACAGTAAACATATAATGAGAGAGAAGGGATGGGAGCGATGTTGTAGACGGCGTTACGTCTGCCATTGTTCTTGTACACTTCAGCACACGTTTTATGGATTGGGCGCTGAAAGCAAGTGGAAATGTAAGATTTCTTTTGATCACGCTTCAGCAAACTACAGACAGAAACATGTTTAATTCATGAGCCGTTGTTTCAGGGCGTCGATAAAATTTCAAATAAAGCGAGTCTGTGATAAAAGGTAATTTGTATCTTCTAAATTCATAAATGACTCTTTTAATTTCCTAGATAACAGGTTATTGCAAGGATATTTGAATAACTTCGTTTCCGGTGTTTTATTCTACACTTCATGAGATCGAAGGTCGTAAATCACAGCTCAGTCAAGCAACAAAAAAGAGTTGATTTGGTGGCAAGCTTTCTCTATCAGCACAATAACTTAAGCATTAAAATAATGTCAGTTTGACACATCTAAACATTTAGTAAATCGTAAATATTTAGGCGCCCATCCTTTCGTCTATCGCATTGTTGAGAACAAGTTTAGCTTGTACGTTTTCCATCCTTCCTTTTTCGAATGCAAAGTGAAATATTTTTAATTCTTCGCTTTTTTCGTATCTCAGTTTTCACCTGTCCGGTTAAAAAGAAAAACGCTTTATTTTGATTACAAAACGTAAAAATAGAAGGCTGCATGCGACGCTAGATATTTTTTACTTTACTCAAGCGCTATCACTCTGTCTATCAGTGATGAAGTATTTCACACCGACACGTATCCTAACTAAATATGTGATTTAGGTTTCTATTATAATCCTTCATGACAACAAAAGAGTATAGACAAACTAAATTAAAATGAATTTCCAATATCCTTTTCAAATAGTTAGTTTTCTTTTTGTTTTTTTTTTGTTTTTTTGCAGGGGGGGGGGGGCTGTGTTGCGAAGCATTTAAACGTGTAATAAGAACAAGGTGACTTTTTTTCTATTACTAGAAAAGTAAAAAAATAAAAAAATAGATAAATAAAAATATCATAATTATAGCAGGTTATCTTTTTGATATATTGTTTATATCTGAAAATCATGGTATTTATCACAATTAACAAACCATGCATTGATCGTAAACCCATTAATAGTTATTAAATGGTTTTAGTACTAAATTTTCAAAAATATATTCTGGGTATAATAGTGATTACTTTGATTTAAAAAGCAAAACTTACATGCACTGATATGTGTTGATATGTTTTGTCTTGGATCTTCTGAGACAGTGCTTCAGGTTGGTCATACGTGTCTTTAATAATCAGTTCACATAAGTGAAGACCATCAGCGTCTTTCTTCTTGTAGTTGACTGACTTACACGAGTCTCCCATGCGAGAACATCGACCTATACACTCCATATCATCGTACACTCGCACTCTCTTGACATTAGTACCTTTACTGAGAAGCTTTTGGTTTCTCTGTACCGAGTAGTATCGATAATGAACATTGTCCGTTAGCAGAACTGGAAAATACTCTGTTTCTGTCTGAACTGTTGGATTTATTAAGTAATGAATCGTAAGAATTGTTTGCAAAATGGCGAGAAAACTGTTAGCACTTTTCATGGCTTTGTTCATTTGTCGTACAGCTAGCAGCCGTCTTGAGTTCTCTTCATGTCTAAAGTACTTTGAAGTGCGCTTATGTATACAGATGTTGCAGAATAAACATGAGTAGTTTCAAAATTACTGCGAAGAGCAAAAAAAAAATCAAAATTAATTCCTTTTTGCAATCTTTTTGACAACTGTAATCCCTAAACTTAAAGCCGAACCGTTAAACTTACCAAGCTTTCAGTAAAATCGTATAAAGAAGACACTCCCTTAGTTCTTGACACTTCTTGACTCTTGACTAGGCTTCCCTGCCTTTTCTAAGATCTCAACGATTCTTTAAAATTAAAAATGCATATTGGTTTTAACCTGTTATATTTCAAGAAGTAATCCCGACGATTCGTTGATCTATTTTGACAGTTTTAGGGCCTTAGTTCATACATATTTCTTAGAGTGCACGAAAAACGCCTGGTTACACTCAAACTCCCATTCAAAACTGACTCTTGTCTCGTCCTGATTCGATCACTTAGACAACGCTGTCAACGTCCAATATGAATTCAATTCTATCCGCAAACATTCTTATTTTTTTAACATTATTGTATTAATATTCCTTCAAGGCGCGACTGATAATTTCCGTAGGTAGATGGCAATAAAGAAGTGCTTACATTCTGATTTAGCTGAAAATATTAAATCTGTCCAATGCCGAATCTTTTTAATTATTTTTTTTCTTTTGAAAACCTCTAGTTTTATTAAACACTGCGCTACACACAGTCTAAATAAGCAGAAGCACTAGAAATTCACTGATATTATTCATTATATCATGTAAACCGATGGTCATTTCCTTGCTTTAGGGTTTAAATTCTTACAAAGTCGGCACTAATATACTATATAATAATTACGAATTGAGGAGAGAATTATCCCCCTTTATCAACTCGAAAAAAATAACACTTCAGACCACATGCCATTTCCCTGGGTATACTTTCTTTATCTTGGTTTCACGAGTCACGTGAGGCTGATTGAGTGGGAATCTTATTGGCAGCCATTTTGTTTTTACAGCGGCTTCCTTAGGACCTTAGCGTCGGGTCTTCGTTCGATTCCTGCGTACGCCAAGATGAGAGTTTGTGTGATGTGTTTTTCTTTCTGAGGGTTGTAACTCCGTCTTTTTTCCTCTGTCTTGACACTCTACCCATTTTATTCGCACTCACATTATCAAAAGCATGAAGACCAAGACGTTGTCCCACCAAGTCATGATTGTTTCAGGGTTGGCTGAATTCAATAAAAGTGCCTCCACCTCCTTGTGTAACTACCACTAAAATAACCCCTTTTTAGTGATTCGTTGACTTATGAAACATTAGAGAATTGTAAAGTAAGGCGAAACGATAGCTGCAAAAGACCGTTTCAAGATTTTCAAATTTTAGAAGAATTAAGCATTCAGACGCCAAAACATTTGCTACAAAAAACAACATCGATAAACATTGCTGGGTTTTCTTGGAAAACTTCAGATAACCACGATCTCTTGAATATTCCTAAGACATTTAAAGCATTCAGTAAAACGCGCGCTTACACGGAGCAATTTCGTCGTGTCTCGCAACAGTTCTACTTTTCGCAACGATTGCTGAACCTTCAAATTTCGCTGTAGGCTACACGCTGAAATGCTCCATGCAACTTGAGTCGCAACGCCGTTGCGAGACAAGTTGCAGAGAAAATTGCTCCGTGTAATCGCGCCTTTATGTCTGGTTGTTGTGGTATGCGCAGAATTAGAAGGTTCAAATGTTGAAAATGGATCGTGTTGTAACTTGTATCTATCATTCCAACAAATTGAAAGAAGGCAAACAGTAATTTACAAATACGTAAATATACGTAGCGTTTCAAAACGCGTCCCACATGAAAAAGAGGTGACCATTGGTACTTTTGTCATCGCTGACGGTATTACCACCGTTTGGACCATGATTTTATGGCTACTGGTCGCAATACAAAAACGGCAAGGGATTAATCCTCTACGGCCTAGGGCCGATTAATTCCCTTGTCATTTATCAGTCCGCAATTCTTCCCGGGATAGCGATGTCGGGGTCGAAATCTCGGGCGTAGTAAATGTTTCGCGCTGCCTTTCGAAGCTCCGGCATTCGATGTCTTGAAGTATGGTCTCCGGTTACTTTTAATTGCTCAATAAAAAGAGTCAATTCATCCTGATAGATGAATTTTAGAAAGTTTACTTTGGAAAGAACGAGCGGCATCCCAGTGAGCATGCGCATTAGGCTCTCAGTATTTTCATCTTCTCATACCGAAACGTACCGCAAAGAACTCAATCTGAAGACATTTAAACAAACTTGACAGTAATTTCGAGCTGTTTCAAGAGTTCTGTGTTTCTTTTCATGATACTTCTTTTATTTTGCTTTTATTTCCAATTTTAGAAAACCAAGAGTTACATTGCGCGATAAATAGAGATTATCACAGCGAGTGAGTGAGTGAGTGTGTGAGCGAGTGAGTGATACGATATGGAAAATGAGTGAATGAAAAAGATATCAAGCTCTAAACATGAAATAATTTGTTTATTTGTTATGTAATAAATGACTAAAATAATCTTGCTATATTCCATCTACATTGACGTTCTAGTTCACCATACGTTGTATTTTATTATGCAAGTTAAATCGCAAATCAAGAACAGTTCAGTTTTATTTTATCGAAAAGGCCACTTCATTGTCATGGAAACTTTCACTGACAGGTCATGTGATATTTGCTAATATGTCACGTGGTCACTTCCCGCAATGACTCATGGGATTGCTGTGGGACTTGTATTACTGACGAAGGGTGATTATAAAACTCTATCCGGAAGCTATAAGAGGATCACAATAGCTTTGCAGCTAACAAATCTGTGGTCCTTGTAACATATTCGAGTCATAATCTAAATTTGGAATTTTTTCAACTGCGCATTAATGGCGCACTCAAGGTTTCTCATGCCAACCGAATGCGTGCAGTGCAGCCCAACATGGCGGAATATAAACACATGACCTATAATATGACAAATATTTTGGACGGTTTTAATTGGACTTTATTTTCATCTCAAATCTCTTTAAAGAGTAACTACTTCCATGCCAGGTATTCCAGATAACACCACGACAAGGACTGATGATGGTACCTTCCTGGACGTACGGACCATTAGGGTTGCACTGATAGCAACCATCGTACCACCAAGCACCTAAGCACTGAGCTGTACATGTTCTGTTCACGTGGTCGTTATCACGGTCCGGCGTGCTGAAGAACTTGTTGTCATGGTAACTAAGTGAATCGTTTGCATCTCCTGTTAAACAATGAAATGAGCGGCGTTTGTTTCTTCTTTCATAAATATTCGCGAGAGTTTAAGCATCTTTTTTAAGGCAAACGTGAAACGTCGGTTGACTGGCAATTTTTTCAGATTTAGTGCAGACGGAAAAAGAAACAAAAAATTTTTTAAGTAGTAGGAAAGAACACGTGTTTGGTGAAGAAGGTTTGCAAAAGGTAAAGTGAAATGCACATGAACGATTAAAATGTGGTCATGTCATGCTGGAAGACAAGACAGTGATGCTTAATCTAGCCTGTGTAGCGACGCTCTGTGCTCCCCGCGCAAGTATTGAGGCCGCTACGCAGGCTATGCCTAATCTCTCTAATAGTTAATAACGTCCTTTCTGCTTCCTCTGTTTTCCCACTTTTTGTGTCCCTTTACCACGCCGAGTTACAAACGACAGGATGCAATAGAATTCGAACAGCAGCCAGAGCGTTAGCATTTCTTCTAAATCACTGAAAATAATCTCAAACTAACCTGAAAAATTCTTGACTTCAAGACGATAGTTGACAGACTCGTCCCCAACTCTGAAGTATTCATAT